GTTTCGCTGGTGACGGGCCATTCATTAAAATTAGGGGTTTTGGCCCATATGAATCCGATTTGAAAATTAAACTTTTCCACATGTATTTGATATAGGTTTACTAGGTTGCACCTTACTTGAAATTTGATTTAATTTTTTTTAAACTCGCACCTGATCCGACTCTATCTGATATATATATATATGGTAAATTAATGATCTAATTAAAAATACAAATAGAGATACTAGAGGTATTATTGCAATTATCTCTAAATATATAAAAGATAATTATAATATTATATTTGGTTAGACACTTAGATTAGAATAATTTACACCTTAAATTTGAATCTGACCCGATCTTTCAAAAATCTTGACCCAACTAGAACCTATTTTTTTTTAACAAAAAAATATCTAATGAAGTCAGGTCAAAATCCATCAAGTTCGAGTCAGATACTCATAATCCATCCTTAATTGCAATGCATATTCAAGTTTATATGCATATGAACATAGTCAGAATCGAATATCATAATAGGTTAAATTCTTAAACTTTAAGAATAAGGACTTGTTAAATATTGGGTAAATTACGTATTTAGTATCTAAACTATCAATTTTGGTCCGTTTTAGCACATAAACTTTCAATTTTTCAAAATCCTAAAGTTTAGTTTTTGTTTCATTTTAGTACCCTTGTTGAAAATTTAAAGTTAATTTTTGGAAAAAAATGGAAGGTCTATGTACTAATATGGACCAAAACTGATAATTTAGGTACTAAACGCGTTAAGTTTTTAACGGTTCGGTACTAAAATAAAACAAAAACTAAACTTTAGGCATGATTTCCAAAAAAGTGAAAGTTTAGGTACTAAAAGGATCAAAACAAATAATTTAGGTACTAAATGCATAGTTTACCCTTAAATATTTAAACTCAAAATTTAAGAGAATAAGGTTTAATTTATCTAATATTTGAACTTATAAGGACCTAAATTATCACATAAGATGTTATTGATTTAAACTGAGGTATAACATTAATAGTAAAGGATTAAATCATACTAAATTAAAATATATGAAGACTAAATCATACTTCTTAAGTTGAGTATAGTATAGGGACAAAAACCATAATTGGCTTATGTTTATACATATGCATGTAGGTCTTCGTTAAAATCCATGATGTTGTATCTTATTGTTGTTTTTCTTTGCAGGCCTTCGTGTTACCATAGACTGCAAGCCGGAAAAAGGCGAAAACTTCGAAACCCGAGGCTCCGGCGAGCTCGACGATGAAGGCAAATTCAAAGTATCCCTTGCCGGAGACATGGTTAAAGATGGTAAATTAAAGGAGCAATGCTACGCGCAGCTCCACAGTGCATCGGCTCAACCTTGCCCTTCCCTCGACGGCCTCGAATCCTCCAAGATCATTTTCAAATCCGCCGGGGACGATGGCGAACACCGATTCGGGCTGAAAGGGAAGCTCAATTCTCGCCGATAACGTGTGCCTCCGCCTCTTTTGGCCACACCACCACCATAAGTTCTCTCCATTGCCAAAGCTTCCACCACTTTCACCATTGAAAAGCTTCTTCCACCATCATTATCCTCACCCTCCGATTTACAGAAGCCGCTTCCGCCCCCGGTTCCGGTCTACAAGCCTCCGGTTTATAAGCCTCATCCAGTTCCGGTCTACAAGCCTCCGGTTTATAAGCCTCATCCAGTTCCGATTTACAAGCCGAAACCTCACCCGCTTCCTACGATTCCGAAGATCCATCCAATCCCAAAGAAGCCGTGCCCGCCGATCCCCAAGCTTCATCCGAAGTACTTCCACCACCCCAAGTTCGGAAAATGGCCGCCGTTTGCTCCACATCAGCCTTGAAGTATTCGTAGTCTCATGCAGTGATAATGTGCGTGTGTGTGCATAAAACATTGAACTGTTTTATGCAATGTTTAATTAAGCTATAATGCATGCAATAAAGGTACGTGAAGGGGAGATAACTTACGTAAACATGTATTAAAATGTTTGAAACTTTAATTTTATATGATATAGTATTAAATTGTGGCTGTAGCGTTTCTGAACGTTATGAATATTACAACGTGATTTATTTTTTTAAAAAAATATAATATTTTTTAAAAAATAAACCACTAATTATAAATGTCAAACAAAAAATTTAAAACTTTTAAGGGCTATAATGTGAAATTTTCAAAATTCGGGGACCTTAAGCTCATTCAATATTCGACTACTAGATTTCAAAGTTCCTAGAACTCTAAAACCTCATCCTTACAATTAAATCAAGGAAGTTATTGCAATTATTATTAGTATTTCAATAGGTCACTAAAAATTAATTATGTTTAATTTTGCCACTCAATTTTAACATTATTTATATTTTGATCATTTCATCCTTAAATAATTAATAGAATTATGATATGACTGATGATATTAAAAATATATCGTTTTAAAAATTATAATTTATACCAGAAAACTTTATTTTGTATTCTTATAAACCATTTTCTTCGTATTTTCTTTTTTGCGTTTCTTTTTTTCCATCTACTTAGATATCGTCACCACTTGTCATGATAGGTTATCATACCAACCACCAACAACCGTTGTCGATGGTGGATGATGAGTCGTCTTTCACTTGTTTAGTCCTCATGAATGCAAATTTGATATTTGTTTAACTGAAAAATATCTCAAAACTCACAAATATAGCGTCATAAACTTCAAGACATCGAACTGTCATCGTCTAACATAACTTTTAACTAACACAATAACGTCGTATAACTCCTCTTTTCTTCCTCTACAAGTTTGTCGGTTTAGTTTCTCATAAAATCTCCACAAAAACCTCAAAAGTTCTCTCCGGACTTTTGATCTCGTAATCTGATTATTGGATCATTTCTATTTTGAGATGGGCCGAAAAAAGAAAATTTATCTTTTATATTGCTTCATTAACCTTTTTTTTCCTCTCTCTCTTTCGATATACGTAGGTTTTAGATGTTCGGAGATAATAGATTCATATGAAATAGGTCGAATTCAGATTTAGAGGATCAAAATAAGGTGATCTAAAAATTATGGGTCTAAAGAACACCCACTGTGATGATTGGCGCATTGGTAGAACACATCAAACAAAGGTTAGAGCATGAGATAGTGCCTTCATGGCCCAAAAATGAAAAGAGAGAATTTTTTAGAGTAAACTATGCATTTAGTACCTAAACTATCAGTTTTGATATTTTAATAAGCTTTTAATTTTTTCAAAGTCATACCTAAAGTTTAGTTTTTGTTTCATTTTAGTATCCACCGTTAAAAACTTAACGCGATTAGTATCTAAACTATCAGTTTTGGCCCATTTTAGTACCTAAACTTCCATTTTTTTTCCTCTCTAAACTTAACGTTAAATTTTGAACAAGTGTGCTAAAATGAAACAAAAAGTAAACTTTATGTATGATTTCAAAAAAATAAAAAGTTTAAGTACTAAAATAGACCAAAACTGATATGTTAAGTACCCTTATTATTTTTTTACTACTGTAAAAGATCAATCATTTTCCATCTCCAGTTTAATGTGTAGCACAATAGTCAATAGTCAAGAAAATCATGTACAAAGATAATATTTTTAAAGCTAAAATGTTGTCTGTGTTACTTGTATTTAGACTATAAACATAAAAAAGGTCATTGGAGATAATTACGTGATTATCTTTTCTTTTCCATAGTATGACAAACGAGATATTAATATCAAGAATTACTAATTTAGTTGGACGAGATATTAAGTTTTTTTAACAAAGTCGGGAGTTTGAATTTTAATAATCGTGAATAAAGCGAATTTGGCTATGAAAGTTACCTCTATAATGGACTTCTACGAAACTTGATCTGAACCATAGAGACATATATTTGACCCGAATTCAGTAGGTTTCAATTTGAGTTGATCGAATTTGAGATTAAGATAAAAAAGTTTAACTTGATCCGACTCGAGATAATATATATATATATATATATATATATATATATAATAATACTCGTCTATATTATTTTTTTAATTATTTCTTTACTTTATCTAATAAAAATGAATTATATGCTTATTTATGTTTGAGTCAATTTAGATAAGATATAAATTTTAATCTAAATAATTGAGTTAAGTTTCAGGTCGGGTAATATTCTCTTAAAGTAGATAGAAGAGTTTAATTTTAGGGTAAATTATACATGTAGTACTTAAACTATCAATTTTTGTCTGTTTTAGTACCTAAACTTTCATTTTTTTAAATCATACCTAACGTTTAGTTTTGGTTTTATTTTAGTACCCCGTTAAAAACTTAATGTTAAGTTTTGAAAAAATTGAAAGTTTAAGTACTAAAACGAATCAAAACTAATAGTTTAGTTACTAAACGCGTTAAGTTTTTAATAATGGGGTACTAAAATGAAACGAAACTAAACGTTAGGTATGGTTTTAAAATAAATTGAAAGTTACGGTACTAAAATAGATTAAAATTGATAGTTTAGGTATTAAACACATAATTTACCTGCTATTTAGAGTCGAGCAACGAAACCAAGAAAAATAAAAATCAATTCTAATCGAACTATGCAGTTTAGTTTGGTTCAAGTTTTTCAATTTACAATTCGGTTCTGTTTTGAGTTTTCATATTAAAATCGTTTGAACTGAAGCAAACCGAATTAAAAAAAAAGAAAATAAATAAATATCTAAAACAAATTTATTTTGATTTTTTATAAGACAAATTTAAAAAAATAAAATCTTAAAACTAATAATATTTTTTGAATTTAAATTTATATATTTGCACTCGATTTAAGATTTAAATTATTTTAGATTGAGTTTAGAAAATTAGTAAACAGTCAAAAACCGCAAAACCGAATCGAACAAAACTAAAATCGTAAATTTTATGACATTCGATTTCAATTTTTAAAAACCCGTAAAGTAGGATTTAATTCATATTTTAGTGAAAAATCGAATCGAATTGAACCAAATACATCGCTACCGCTATTTAAGTCGTGATAGATTGGGTTGGGAGAATTAAGCTTCCTTCAAATAAAGAGAAAATACGCCATGCCTGAGAACATTTTGGTGACCGGCGGTGCTGGTTTCATCGGAAGCCACACCGTGCTAGAGCTGCTATTGGCGGGTTACCATGTGGTGGTGGTTGACAATCTCAACAATTCCTCCGGTGCTTCCATCCGCAGAGTCAAAGAGCTCGCCGGCGAACACGGCGACAACCTCCACTTTCACGAGCTTGACCTTCGAGACAAACCAGCCCTGCAAAAACTTTTCACCGGAACAAAAATAGATTCCGTCATACACATCGCCGGATTAAAATCCGTAGGAGAAAGCATGGAGAAGCCATTGATGTACTACAACAACAACATCATCGGAGCAATCACCTTGTTGGAAGTAATGGATGCACATGGATGTAAAAGCCTTATAGTTTCATCATCGGCCACCGTGTACGGTTGGCCAAAGGAGGTGCCGTGTAGAGAAGACTTCCCTGTGGATGCAATCAATCCTTATGGAAGAACCAAGCCAGTCGTCGAAGAGATGTGCAGGTAGATGTTATTATGGTGTTAATTTGTTTATTTTTAAAGATGTTCATGTTCATGTTCGGTTCATGTTCATTTAAATTTTCAGTATCTTATTTGTGTTCGTTTATTTATTTTTGAGTTGTTCGTGTTCGTTTATATATTGTTCACGAACATTTTCGTTTATATGTTTACGAATATATTCATTTAGTGTTTATGAACGTGTTCATTTAATATTTGTTTATCGTCATTCATATGTTCAAATTTTAATTTTACAAGGAAAAGGAGAACCCGGTAAACGAATTTGTTCATGAACATAAATGAATAAGTCGATAAACGAGCTCATAAACAAGTTTGTTCGTGAACATAAATAAACCAAATACACCTATGTTTGTATTAATTAGATTATTAAATGAAAATAATTTTTTTTGTTTATATTTATTAATTTAGCTTAACAAACGTTAAAGAATGTTATACGAACGTTTTACGAATAATTCATTAATACTGTTCATATGTGCAGGGACGTACAGCGTGCAGACCAAGAGTGGAAGATAATATTACTGAGATATTTCAACCCTGTCGGTGCACATCAGAGCGGCTACATCGGAGAACATCCCCGTGGAACCCCAAACAATCTCATGCCCTACATGCAGCAAGTGGCGGTTGGCAAGCGACCGGCGTTGACCGTGTTCGGCGACGATTATTCCACCGGAGATGGCACTTGCGTACGTGATTACGTTCATGTTGTCGATTTAGCACGAGGCCATGTGGCCGCCTTGCGGAAGCTATCTGATCCGGACATTGGCTGTGAAGTCTACAACTTGGGGAGTGGGAAAGGAACGTCGGTTTTGGAGATGGTGGCTGCGTTTGAGAAGGCGTCCGGGAAGAAAATACCTCTGGTCATGGCCGGTCGGCGAGCCGGTGACGGTGAAATAGTTTATGCTTCGACTGAGAAGGCGGAGCGTGAGCTGAATTGGAAAGCTGAATACAGCGTTGAGGACATGTGCAGGGATCAGTGGAACTGGGCCATGAACAACCCCGATGGTTACGAATCTCCTGATCCATAAGCCCAGAGCGTTTTCTGCTTCGGGACTGAATTCACGGAATTTAAGATTATCTCGAGAATAATTAATTTAGTCGTTAAAGGGAATATTGTTCTCTTTTGAACTCTTGAGTTTAAACAGTTTCGTATGCAAAGATGTGTGCATTATCCTTGATTAAAAAAAGACTATGAGAGATAATATTATGTAATTATCTTACTATTCAATATATATATATATATATATATATATATATATATTACAACATTCCTTTGATGAAATATAAGATTAGAAGTGTACACATTATTAATAAGTTAAAAAAACTATAAATAAATATTATCTTATAATTATCTTAAACTATTAGAAGAATATATATTTTACGTTAATGCATTCTTTAATAAATTTAACATTCAACATTAAATTAGTAGATATTGGTATGAAAGTATATAAAATATTTTTTATTCATTTTAGTACCCGTTAAAAATTTAACATTAAGTTTCAAAAAATAATTAAAAGTTTAGGTACTAAAACTGACCAAAACTAATAGTTTAGGTATTAAAATTGACCAAAACTAATAGTTTAGGTACTAAATACGTTAAGTTTTTAACAGCAAGATACTAAAATAAAACAAAAATTAAATGTTAAATATGATTTTGGAAAAAATTAAAAGTTTAGGTACTAAAACAGACCAAAATTGATAGTTATGTACTAAACATGTAATTTACCCTAAAAATATGGGTCAATAATATTTTTCCACCAATTATAACTCTCCGTCCAAACTAGAGGGGGTGAATTACCATCAAAATTAATTTATTCTCATTCATATATCTATATTTTATATATAATATAATATAATATTAAAATAATTGATAAATTAAATAATATTTAAAATAATTACACATATTATTAATATAATCTGTTATGTTAAAAAGTAAATTATAAAATAATCATCACTATAAACAAATTGTTTTAGGTAACAACAAACATATGTAATATAAAGAGGACTTCATTTTTTGTATTTTATGATCGATATTAAATTAATGCTCGAATTTGAAAAGAAGGGTAAATTACATATTTAATACCTAAATTATCGACTTTAATTTATTTAAATATTTAAAAAGAAATATATTCAAGTTCGGGCTTCGGACAGGCCCAACCTGTCCTAATTACCCAATAAGATCTCAAGTTTTGAAAACATAAGGTCCAAATGATATGAACCTCTAGTTTTTTTTTGGCCCACTAGGTCATACAAATAAAAAAATTAGTTCATAAGGTCATCTCTAAAATTATTTTGGGATCTACGACAAATGTTACAATATAAAGCAAACTCGTCACGCCCACATGACGAGTTTGTCTAAATAATATTTTTTTTATTTAAACTCATCACGTCGAAGTGAAGAGTTATAATAAAATATAATTTTTTATTAGATTTTGTGACATCGGAGTGAAAAGTTTCAATAAAAAATATATTTTATTGGAACTTATCATGCCCACGTGACGAATTCCAAGTCATTGTTGAAAATACTTTAGTTTCCAAATTAAAAATTTAGGTGTTGTATTGGGCTAAATATTTAGCCCGCCTACGATATTGGGCAAATTTACCATGAACCTCTTCATCTCTCTTTATTTAATTATATTTTTTTAAATCATTAAATGATATCAGTGGTAAAACGAAATATTATATTTTTCTAGAGGTCATTAGTTATAAATGCATGTTGCATGTGCTTTATAGATAACTATGAAAGATTTAAACAAATGCTATATTTATCAATAACACAATACCTCTAAGGAGATTAACATTCTCCATATTTTTTTATTAAAAAATATAATTAATATCTATACGGTTCAAATTCCTATGTATCTATAAATTAAAGTCTTAATGTAAACATAAGTGTCCAAACTATACTTAATATTAACTCTAGGTGTCTAAAGAAATTTTCGCTCAAAATAGGTGTCTGACATTTTCAACTTTTTACTTTAAAGTGCATACTCCACAACAGTCAATAAAAAATATGGTTATCTAAGACATGTCATGTTTATTTTTTTAGAACTTTTATTTTTAAAAAAAATAAGAATATGATTAATTAAAAAAATCTCAATTTTTTTAATTTTTTTTTATGAAAAACCCTAATATTCTCCATTCCAACCTCCATTAATAGTGGCTGCCCGTCATCTCCGATCATTGACTATGTCACTAATGACGGATCTAGAAATTAAAAAAATAGAGGTCCAAAATTTTAATATTCTAATTTATTGAAAAATTAGGTATGCAAAATTTCTTATTTTTTCCTTCCCCTTAATATATTAAATTAAATTTAGTATTTTTTTCAAAATAATGAGGATGATGTATTGGACACATTCACTCCCCCCCTTTCCTAATTTTCCTCCTCCCTTGTCCCCTACATTTCTTCCTCTAAAATTCCATAGTTTTTTCTTCCCTAAGCAAGTGTAAAAGTACAAACTTGGTAGCTCTTTAAGCTTAGAACGAAATTTCTAAGACAAGAATCATAATCTCATCACCTCAATCTTTCATTCAAGCTTTCAATCTCAAAGTTTAACTATAATGACCATATGTGAGGGTTTAGTGGGGTTTAGGAAATTAGAGACTTCTAACTCGTTCATCGTGTATCGATATCGTTGGGCTAGTATCGACCACAAGGTGAGTATCGATATTCACGAGTCAATATCGGTACTTAGAGGCTTAGTATCAACACCATCGTACATTTTTTGGTAAAAAAACCCAAAGAAATTGAGAATGAGGATGGATGTATTATTAGCACCGGTATTTCATTAAATAAAATTCCATGTGAAAACCATGATAATACTCGATTACAACTATAAATAATACCAATTAGGATGACATAATACTAGCCTTGTTTGATGATCAGGAAATAGACAGGACACCCGAGTTATTGTAACTGAGGACGAGCGTCTTGATGTATAAATTATCCAGATATGTCTAATCAAGTGTGTGAGGCACTTCTGTAGCTAAATTGGGCGCAAGGCCAGAACACTCACGAGGGGTGGGTTAGCCGAGTGTTGTTTTCGATGCAGAATTTTGGATCTCACCCTAGGTAGGCTAGAGGGGTGTTCGTCCCGAGATGTCACAACCTTACCATTGCACCATGATGCTTACCCTAGTATAGCGTGTAGTATACATGTATACTCCCTTTTCTATATCATAACTTATTCGCATGAACATTTGTTGAACACATATATTATGATTTAGTTGTTAGTGTGGCATTGGGTTAGTGAGCTTAGCGCTAGGAATTTGTTTCCGAGCACAGGTTCTTAGGAGGAGCATTCGAGGTTCTTGAGTCATTCTTAGAGGATATGTATTAATCATAGACCTTTTGTACTTGAGTCGTAACTTTATTTTAAATACTTGGTTTGAATTATCTTGATATACATATATTTTAAGAGCTCCTCGATGCAACTCAAATAATTACTCTGATTTATGGTCTTAAATGATGTTTTATAAATGGTTTTAAAGAAAAATTTTGGGTTAGCCACTACAGTGGTCCCGTATGACATTCTAATCTGTCGATCTCAAGCCGTTATCTAATTAGGGTGTTACACTCACCGCTTAGATCAATATTTAAATGCATTAAAGGTGGTTTCATTTTTGTTAAGGCAGTTAAAAATCACAATTATATGCTAATTCAAACTAAACCAAACCCTAGATTGGAAATAAAAAGGGTAGGGATAGCAATTTAACCTGAATCCAACTAGTTTCGACATGATTAGACCCGATAGGGTTGGATTTAAAAAAAATTAAGTTTGGGTCAGGTCGCTCGGATTTTTTAAAGGTCGGGTCGGGTTTGGGTGGAGAGTGAAAAAACCTCGACCCTACCTAACCCCGACCCTACCTAACCCGAGGATAATAATATAATTTTCTTTAAAATTTTATTATTTTTTAATTAAATCTTTATTTTATGTCGAATCGGATTTACGCTCTAAAAATTCAAATTGAATCAGAATCAAATGTAAAATATATATTTTTTAGGTCAAACTGAGTCGGTGAAAATATATAAAATTTTCAGATTTCGGTGAATACCATCCCTAAAAAAAGGTGAGAAAGGTGGAGGAAACAATGCTGATGACAAACACATGGAGGCAGCCAATAGAGTTTGCCTTGAAAACAGCCACCAGGATTTGCCTTGCGTTTGTACAACGCTATACTACTTTAGTATGTAATATAGGGATAATTATTATTTGAGAAAATAATTTAAGTGACCAAAAATCTCAGATAATATACGATTTTGATCAATTTTTTTTGGATTTACGAAAATGACCAACAAAATCGCAATGCGATCTCCACTATCGCAAATTTGCGTTGCATTTCGCGTTGCGATAGTTGAAAATCGCATTGCGATTTTCCATTTCGCGTTGCTATAGTTGAAAATCGCGTTGCGATTTTCTATTTCGCGTTGCGATAGTTGAAAATCGCGTTGCGATTTTCCCTTTCGCGTTGCGATAGTCTACAATGTCGTTGCGATTTTCCAAATTCGTTACGATAGTCTACAGTTGTTGTTGCGAAAGTCTACAGTTGTCGTTACGATTTTTCAAATTCGTTGCGAAAATTCGTTGTGATAGTAAAAAAAAAAGATTTTTTTTCTTAAGAATTTTCTCTAAAAAGATAGTATCCGCGCGGACGTGTCGAAGACACGTATTTTCAACTATCGCAACGCGAACTGGAAAATCGCAACTCGATTTTCAACTATCGCAACGCGATTTTCAATTATCGCAACGCAAAATGCAACGCGAATTTGCGATAGTGGAGATCGCAATGCGAATTAAAGATCGCATTGCGATTTTGTTGGTCATTTTCGCAAATCCAAAAAAAAATTGATCAAAATCGTATATTATCTGAGATTTTTGGTCACTGAGGTTATTTTCTCTTATTATTTTTAGAGATTTTGAATTCGAATATAGAGATATTTAATCATTCACATTAATTTTGTACGAATCAAACGATCTCAGTCATTAAATGATTATTCATTATAAAATAAATGAGAGTTTTTTTCCCGAATAAATACAATCGTATAATCGCTTTAATATAATAATAAGAATAATAATAATAACAATCAACCTCACCGGTGTGAAAAATAATTTTTAAAACAGTCTGCCGCATCGCATCTGATGCCTTTACTTTTGCTGCAATTTCATTGAAGTTTCCTTTGGCCAAATCTATCTCACCTCATCTTGCATACGATCTTTCTTGCAATATGTCATATGTTTAGGGTAAATTACATCAGACACCATTGGATTATACTCAAATGATCATTTTCACCATTGAACGTTTAAAATTTTTAAAATGATCATTAAAATGAAAATCATTAAAAATGAATTAAGAGTGACGTTCTAAGTATATTTAGGTAACATTTTTAATAAGCCTTCTTATTTTGAAGTAAAATTTAAGAAAATAATATGTAAATCATTAAAATGAATTAGGAGTAACTCTTTTATACACACACGATGTACACAAGATTTTATGTTAGGGGTGCGAATCTTTAAGAAATTATATTAGAAATTCAAGAGTTATAAAATTATAAAATTTCAGAGGATGCGAAGTTAAATCATCAATATAAAATACAAAAAAATGCATATTCTATATGAAAATTTGAATTTGTTTAGGGGTGCGACTGTCCCCTACATCCCTTCAGTCCTTCCTTAAATACACAAACTATGTAAATTAAAGTTTATAGAATCTCATATATTTAAACCCCAAAATTTAAACTTTAAAGTCTCAATTCTAAATCTTAGATCTTAAACTCCTAAACCTAAACCCTATATAAGATACATGACCAAGGATTAAATTCAACAAATACAAAAGGTAATGGGAGTTGAAGCACATTTTAACCATTTATTATAATATAAAATAAGGTAAAACACACAAATGGTCCCCGACTACAGGGTACTGCTTTTGTTGAGTTTTTTAACTATTAAAAGTTTCAAATGGTCACCTGACAATTAATATGTTCCAAACTCATCCTTTTTCTTTTAAAAATTGACGATCCTATGAGTTGGACGTTAACCTATTGATTGAAATATGATAAAAATATATTTTAATGATATCTATTAGCGTTGTTGCTTTCAAGGACTGGCTTAACGACATAATATTTTAAGCACTAGCTCAACGACATAATGTGAACGAAGAGTCGATCCATATAATACAAATCAAATGGTTCTAAGATCAGATTTCATTACATCCCATTCAATAAGTTGACGTCTAGCTCATATGACCATCAATTTTTTTAATATAAATGACGAGTTTGGAACATATAAATAATCATGTGACTATTTTGTAACTTTTAATAGTCAAAGAACTCAAGAAAGAAGTGCCCTTTAGTCGGGACTATTTTATAAGTTTTAACGGTCAGGGGAGTCAATAAAATAATGACTATAGTTTAGGGACCATTTGTATACTTTAACCTATAAAATAATTCATTGTGAACGGAATCTATTCTATCCTAATCAAAATGAATTCGTCCTGTCCAAAAAAGGTAAACTCTCGGTCCTTTTTCTTCTATATAAACCACTTTCCCTCTAGCTTTAATTCCCATACAAAGCCCCTCAAAATCATAAAAAAAATTCTTAGAATCAACCAATCTTTATTATTTTTTTTCAACCATGGCTCAAAATCCCAAGGTGTACTTCGACATGACGATCGGCGGCCAACCCGCCGGTCGGATTGTCATGGAGCTTTTCGCCGACGTCACTCCTCGGACCGCCGAGAACTTCCGTGTCCTCTGCACCGGCGAAAAGGGTATCGGCCGTGGCGGCAAGCCGCTCCACTACAAAGGCTCCAAGTTCCACCGCGTGATCCCCAACTTCATGTGTCAGGGAGGCGATTTCACCGCCGGGAACGGCACCGGAGGCGAGTCCATATACGGAGCCAAGTTCGCCGACGAGAACTTCAGAAAGAAGCACACCGGACCGGGGATCCTTTCCATGGCGAACGCGGGGCCCGGGACGAACGGATCCCAGTTCTTCATCTGCACCGCCAAGACCGAGTGGCTCGACGGAAAGCACGTGGTGTTCGGACAGGTCGTTGAAGGCATGGACGTGGTTCGAGCCATCGAGAAGATCGGGTCCAGCGGCGGAAGGACGTCGAAGCCGGTTGTCATTGCCGACTGTGGACAGATATCTTAGGTCTTAACGACAAAAAGTGGACTAATTGTTTGTCTCTGAGTTTGGTCTTTGATCTGTGTTTCATTTCCATGTCTTTGTCTTCTGTTTGTTCCGGTTCACTGGATTAGGGTTTTGGTGGTTCTTGAAGAACTTGTTTCCTGATGAACTGCCTTAAATAAATAATGTACGCTATTTATCATATTTGAATATTTATTTAAATACGTTATTTAAAAGGAGATCTCGAGTTTAAGTACTTGTATCAATAGAGTTTATGCATGTTGTCAATGACTATGAAAGATTCATCTTGATAAAAGGAACAACACAGTCGAGATTGAATCAATTCAATAATGGACGATTTTAGACATGACAAAAAGATTCAGGTTCGAAGATTTTTTTCTGTAAAACTTTAGGAATTTATGAGCAGAAATATAATTATAGAGATATTAACATAAAATAAGACACAATAAATTTAATATGGTTCAACCTTTCCTACCTCCATAGACAAGAATAATAATAATTCAAGATTACAAATATACTTATTATTCAAGATTACAAATATACGATATCATATGTATCCTAAAATCTGATATATATACTATAACATGTAGTTAAGAATCATCTTAATTATAAGTCACTATATATTTTGATTTCCAAACAGAATCTTTGAGAAATTAGAAAACGATAGAATTTTCTTATAAAATCTAATTTTAGTATAAGATTTAAATTTATTTAATATTTATATTTTTTAGTTTTTAAATAAAGTAACATTAATCATTTATGAAAGTTGATTTTTTCATTATATGGGTTAAGTATAAGGTAATATTTGTTCAAAGATAAATTTTCAACCTTTTGACATTGAACACTTACACGTCTGATATCTATAGTGCTCGAATTCGGGTCCTTAAGAAATAATAACAATTCTTTTATCATAGAGACCACTTGATTCATATATCGACAATTAATTGATTTTGTAGAATAAGTTATTAGATTATTAAAATAAGGTAAGAATTTCGAATCTTAATGTTTATAAATAGAACAAATTAGATTTGAAGAGTCGTTCTATTAAAATTTTATAAAATCTGATTTAAAATAATTGAATTGAATTAATCGAATTAATGGAATTAATATACTTTAAAATGGTTATTTTGGTTCTAATTATGTGCATCTCACCATTATCAAAAGCTCCCTCTTCCTATATAACAACTCTCTCTCAGTCTCAAGCTTATCATTCTACCGACTAAAAAGAAATCGTTTTGTTCCTTCTTTACAATGCCTTCAAACCCTAAGGTTTTCTTCGACGTGACGATCGGAGGCCAGCCCGCCGGTCGGATCGTGATGGAGCTTTTCTCCGATGTCACTCCTCGCACCGCCGAGAACTTTCGAGCCCTCTGCACCGGCGAAAGAGGCGTCGGCCGTAGCCGCAAACCACTCCACTACAAAGGCTCAAAGCTCCACCGTGTGATACCTAACTTCATGTGCCAAGGAGGCGATTTCACTGCCGGGAACGGCACCGGAGGTGAATCCATATATGGAGCCAAGTTCGCCGATGAGAATTTCATCAAGAAACACACAGGACCCGGCGTCCTATCTATGGCGAACGCCGGACCGGGGACTAACGGATCCCAGTTCTTCATCTGCACCGCTAAGACATCGTGGCTGGACGGGAAGCACGTGGTGTTCGGACAGGTAGTTGAAGGCATGGACGTGGTTAGAGCCGTCGAGAAGGTCGGGACTAGAAATGGAAAGACTTTGAAGCCGGTTGTTATTGCTGACTGTGGACAGCTTTATTAAGAACCGCCGCCGCCGCCTAAGATAACAGCAATAACAACAACAAAAGTGGGAATGTCTGTGTTTCCTTTCATGCATGTCTGAAAATTTCATTTCTCTGTCCTGTTTTCATGGCCACTGGGTTTAGGGTTTGCTGGTTCTTTAAGAACTCAGCTTTTCTATAGACTACCATAAATAAATGATCGAATTACTTTATATTTTATCCTATATTTGTGATTAAATCGAATAAAACTATATTTAAATTATAGTCTCTTAAATATTATAATAACAATAATATTAATTACAACGCCACAACGGGAAATTAAGATTTATCGTTGAAAAACCTTTTTTTTCTAACAATAATATTTTCAAATGAAGCCGTTTTGATTAAGTTTTGAGTTGAATATTTTATAATATCTTTGTGTAAAGTACATAAATGGTCATCGACTAAAGGGTACTGCTTTATTAAGTCTCTTGACTATTAAAAGTTATAAAATAATAACTTAATTATTCATTACGTTCCAAACTCATCATTTTCCGTTAAAAATTTGACGGTTGTCTAAGCTAGACGTTAACATAATGACTGAGATATGATAATCATTTAAGATTCTTGGATCAGATTTTATTATATCACAATCAGCATGTTAATGTTTAGCTCAGAGTATCGTCAATTTTTTAACGAAAAAGATGAGTTTAGAACATAATGAATAGTCGAGTGACCACTTTGTAACTTTTAATAGTCGAATGACTCAACAAAATAACACTCTATAGTATGATAATCATTTTTGTAACTTTTAATAGTTAAGAGATTTAATAAAATAGTATTCTATAGTTGAGAGACAATTTGTTTGCTTTACTCGACATTTTTATACTTTATTTAACTATTATTGAAATATTTAATCGTTTTATATTTTAGACTTCAAAATTTAAAATTAAAGTAGATAAATTATACAAATTTAACGCAACTTATTAGGGGTGTTCAAAAAAACCCAGAACCGTTAATCGGTATAACAGTTATATTTAATAGGTTAATTAACCGAACCGTTAATATTATACGGTTTTGGTTAACCGAACCGCTAAAAATGATGATTAACAGTTAAGGTTACGATTATAAGTTTTGATAAACAGTTAACCAACGGTTAATCGTTAAGAAATTAAATTTATAATTATATATTTCTAATTTATTAGACTTTTACACAAATAACTTAATATAGTTTTCTACTATTTATAATTTATATATATTTAATAAAATTTGTATACAAATAATTATATATATATATATATATATCATTTTCAATTTTTATTCCTTTAAAAATATCAAAATATTCTTACACCAATATAATTATATGTTTATTGTTAGGTATTAAGATATTTAGAGATGTACATAATTACACCGATATAAGTATGCGTTAAGTGCTACACTTTTTATTTTATTCACTTACATCGGTGTAAGTATGTGTTAAGTTATATATATTTTTTGTACTATGAATTATGAAAAAAATTGACAAATAATTGTAATAGGTTAACCTATAACTGAACCGTTAATAATAGTTAACCGTTAGCGGTTAACCGTTTCTTAGTGCTTAGGTTACGATTAGAAAAATCTCATAACCGTTATAACGGTTAACCGACCGTTTAAGCTAAACGGTATAGTTAATCGTCCATGAACAACCCTACAACTTACATATTGAATAGTAATCCATAAATAGTTATACAAAATTTTTATAATAATAACACAAACTTTACTTAAAAATATCAAATTCCTTACTATTTTATCTATTTGTAACTAGGGATGACAATTTAGTTCGAAATTGACAGTTTTCAACTTGATCCGAGCTGATAGGATTGATTTTTTTAATAAAAAAATCAGGTTTGGGTCAAAATTTTTAAAGGAGATGAGGTCGATTCGGGTACTAGTGGAGGATAAAAATCTCTGACCCGACCCGGGGATAGAAATGTAATTATTTAAAAAAATATTTTAATAAAGTCCTTATTTTAGACCGAGACGGATCGGGTCAGATTTATAATCTAAAAATTCAGATCGAGACAAAATTGTGTAAATAATATATATTTTTGATTCGGATCGGGTCGTATGGAAGATATATAATTTTCAGATCAAATTAGATTTGAATAGAAGATATATATTTTTGGATCGGATCAAATTGACCAAAAACCCGACCCTAATTCTAGAAGTTACCATCTGTATTTACAACATGCAAAAGTTTGGGCATTGGGCCGAATCTCTCAGGCGTTGGATTCCAAATGAATCTTGTTGTTTATCTGTCCATAAAGCTAAGGTTCCAGCTTCAGAAGCAAGCATCTGCTGCTTTTCAAAAAGAGTGGCCGAGAGCCAAGTGTCCATCCCTATTTACCTAATCAGAATCAGAATTTAATTCAATCTCAACGTACCATAATTTTTAAAATCGATCGGATTCATCGGTTGAATTGATTAATTTAACAATTTAATAGGATGAAACACTATATTTTTTTCCGAATCTAAAAAGATTAAAGCAGATAATATGTACTTTTCCATTACATCAAACCTGAAATGTCATCTCTGTAAATGAATTTCTACGATATTTGATTTGAATTTATTGATCAATAAATTAATTATCAATATTTAGAAGAAGAAAAAGATGGTTTCAAGTTATTTTTCTAAATACAACATTTCATATGTTTAAATTAGGTTTTATGATTCAACGCATCGAGAAAATGCTAAAGAAGAATTGGCTAGTAGAACTGCATCACATACCTAGAGAGGCCAATCGAGTCGCCGATTTCGTCGCCAAGCAGATGTGGAAACACCATGAAGATTCCAATTTTCTGGAAGAATGCCCTGAAGAAGCTGAGGAACTGCTGTTAGTGGATAAAACGGGAAGCTGTGCCGCCCATTTACCCTTTTCAACCAAAAATAAAATTAGGTTTTATGATTCAATTTGGTGTTGTGAAGATTTTATAGTTAAATTAGATATTTCAATTTAATTTTTTTATTCAATTTAGTACTTATAATATTTTTGTTCAATTAGATATTTAAATTTAAGTTTTTTTTTTCGTTCAATTTGATACTAATGATTTTTCGGTCAAATTATTTATTATATTTAAATTATTTGAGTTCATCTAAGTTTACTCAATCTAAATGGATCTAAGTATGAAATAATTTAAATTAAACAAAAAACTAAATTACCAAATTTAAAAAAGTCAAATCTAAAATATCTAATTTGACAAAAAAATGTGAGCACATTAAAGTAAAAAAAGCTGATTTCAGGTGTCGATTTAAAAAAAAAAGTAAATTACGTAATAACTAGTATCTAAATTTTCATTTTTTTTCAAAATCATATCTAAAGTTTAGTTTTTGTTTTATTTTAGTACCTGCCGTTAAAAATTTTAGTTTTTATTTCATTTTAGTATGCAGCTCAAAATTTAACTTTAAGTTTTAAAAAATTAAAAGTTTTGGGTACTAAAATGGACTAAAACTGATAGTTTAGGTACTAATAGCATTAAGTTTTTAACGGCAAGGTACTAAAATGAAATAAAAGCTAAACGTTAGATATAATTTTGAAAATTTTGAAAGTTCAGGTTCTAAAATGATTTAAAACTGATAGTTTAGTTACTAAATGCTCAGTTTACCCAAAAAATTTGAAGTTCATATATTTTATTGGACATAAAAGGGTTCAGGTACGAAATTAAACTTGGAAAATAAGTTTAGGTATCAAAATATATATTTACTGTAATTATTCTCCACCGTCGGATGTAATAATACATCTCCTTTTCCTTTTGTAGCCAAACTCAAACCTAAAACGTACATGAAGTTCTACAGTGCGACACTTTAATATAATGTTAAAATAAAGTGTTATCGGTTTTGTTATTATTTAAATAATAAAATCGGTAAAAAATTACCTAAAATATTATTATTTTTACCTAAAACATCAATTGTTTTAACATTTCCGATAAAAGTGCCTAACAATAAAAAAACCGGCAGCTCCTAATAATATTTCCAGTCATTTTTACCAAACTCGGTAAAACGTCCAAAAAAAAACAATAGTAAAATATAAGAAAAAGTAAAAAAAAAAAACTGTTGAAATTCTCACTATCAAATATAAAGAAGAAATTATTATTTATTATTATTATTATTTTGATTAGTTTGAATAAATATAAAATAGTATTTGTTCGAAATTATTTGTCATTTGACAATAATGTCTATCTAACAGTTCAAATATGAAATCTTAAAAGAAAAATATTTTCTTTTACCACTTAATAAGTTAATAGATGAAATTATTATATACTCTCCCTATCATTTAAAATATGAACCTAACCAATAAAATTAATATACATTATATATTTTATAGGTTAGTCCAATATAAACATAATAAAAATTTCATCTAAAAAAATTCATATATATTTTGATCACCTACTATTAAAAAAATAACAATAATGTTAACATGATATTTTTTAATTATTTTTCAATCATGAGATGACACTATCTTATGATGATATATCAACATCACCGCTAATTTTTTAAAAACGGGAGACTAAAACATAACCAAAATGTAATATTAAGCGTAGTACTGAACTTTAATTTATGTATTAATTATAGTATAGAACATTAACCTAATAACGGTATGTTGACATGGTATATCGATCTCTCCTGATGTGATAGTTAAAAAAATTACTATTTTCATTTCATCTCATCGTCTTCTTAGTTAAAATTATGGTTTTCACTTGTTTTTAATCGTATTCGTAAATGTTTTTCTCCGAGGTCTTTTGCATTCGCTCATTAAAATTAGGGTTTTCACTTTGACCTAAAAACGATTATATCATCATGTCGTGAACGATTTAATGATTTAGTGTTTACGTTAAAACTAAAATCAAAGTTGAGTACTACAACGAAAGTTTTTAAAGTTAAATAATGAAATTAATAAAAACCTTAAAATTTAATGATATTTACTTTTATTTTTGTAATCCACCTATGATTCTATGAACAAATTAATAACGTGTCCTCAAATAAGGCATCAATAGGCTCTAAATGAGTCGAGTCGAGTTCGAATAATGCTGAACTCGACTCGAAAACTCTAAAATGAAGTTCGACTCGATTAGAAAATTCGCGAGCCTACAGTTTTTAAGTTTGACTTGTACTCGAAACCATAAACTGAAGCTTGTAAAAGCTCAAATTGAAGAAAAAAAATCTTAAATTTAACTCGATTGAAGCCTTAAACTCAAACTCGAACCTGAACATTAAATATATGAAAATCTTATAATTTATCTTCTTTTTTTAAGAAAAAATTCAACACATAAACGTTAATATTATTAATAATTTATTTTTTTAAATATAAAATCTTAATATATTATATTTTTGAGCTGCTCCGAGCTTTTCGAGTTGAGTCCATTTGAGTCGAGTATTTATCAAGTTTTGATTGAATCAATCTCGAGTAATTCACGATCTAATCGTTTTAATTTTAAAATTAAATCTTTATCAATCGTTTTTTTTTCAATTTAAGTAAACATTTCTTAAATTCATATCAATGTTAAAACTAAGTAAATTATGGGAATCTTGTCCTACAAATTAAACAAATGTTGATGTCCATATCAATCACCAACCGATCTTTGCTTCAAACAAGACGCAATTTGCCTTTAAACTTCAATCGACCATGGTGGCTAAATCCCATTACCAATGGAGAGAAGTTTGATATTGGCCTTGGTTCTCGTTCTCAGCTCGACAATGGCCGTAGCGCCTTGCCGAGGCTACTACTCCGATGCCGAGCCATACGTTCCGCCTCCGGAGAAAGTAACACATCTCCACTTCTTTTTACACGACACGGTAAAAGGCGATAGCCCTAGTGCAGTCTTCGTAGCACGACCCAACATGACGACCGCCTTCAGCAACACACTGCTTCCATTCGGCATCGTGGCTGTGGCCGATGATCCGCTCACCGTCGGTCCCGACATAACGTCGGGGGTTATTGGAAACGCTCAAGGTCTATGGGCGTCGACCGGCCAAGACGTTTTGACACTTATGGTCTACATGGACTTCGGGTTCACGCATGGTGAATTGAATGGTAGTTCCATCAGTATGTTCTCGAGGAATCCAATCACCGAACCGGTGCGCGAGGTTGCGGTGGTCGGAGGGAGAGGGAAGTTCAGGATGGCACAAGGGTTTGCACAGCTTAAGACTTATTTTTTTAATTCTACAAATGGGGATGCTATTGTTGAATATAATGTAACTGTGATTCATTACTAAGATGATGCAAGTTTCTATCTATTTTGTTTATGCTTGGCCAATAAATAAAGAGGGGCTAATTCGATCTTGATTTTGATTTTTTAACTTATTAATATATTATTCGTTTAAATAAGGAGGATAGCACTGAGCAACAAAAATTAATTAATATTTGGATAGTCCATGATCAGACTCGTCTAATGACAAGTGTAGAATATGATCTATCACGGGTTAAAAAATTTAGGGATCCCACACATGAATATCATTAAATCCGTCTATGTATAATATTTGTGCTCTAACCATATTTATGTTCAGAGGAAAAATAAACTTTCTGTTTGATTATCTAGAAAATGATAGCTAAATACATAGTCAATATCGCCGTTTGTAAAACAAAATGCCACTAAAGTTTAAGATCTTTGTTACGCTTATATAGAAAAAGCCATTATGTATGTATTCAATTGGGGTGTTTCACTTTCACAAACACCACTATATGTCAGAACATTAATGGCATTTTTGGAAATAAATGGCACTACAAAAAAGATAAATAGCAGCGTTTCTATAAACGCCGGTAAAGATCATAACCTTTAGCAGCGTTTGACGTTCACAAACGCCGTAAACTTTTGTGGCTTTTGTTTTAGCGTCTCTCTTTTGCATCGTTTGTTTTTGTGCCATAAATGTTTTCAGCGGCGCTTAAAAACGCCGCTAAAAACCTATTTTGTATTTAAATTTTATTATCGATTCTTAATTTGATTCATTTGTAGTACTGAATTTTAGTTTATGCTTTAATTATAGCATCAAACTTTTAACTTAATAGCAGTAGGATGACGTAATGTTGATGTGAGAGCTAAAAAGTTATTATTTTTATTTTATCTAATCGTCTTTTTCATTAAAATTAGGGTTTTCACTTATTTTTCGTCATCGTCACAAATGTTGCTCTCCGATGTCTTTTGCACTCACTTTTGATACTGATGAACTCGTCTTGTCGTTCTCTATCACTTCATCAATTGGGAATCTTTTACTTCAAATCAAACAAATATTGTTGTGAATATCAATTACCAAACGATCTTTGCTTAAAATAAAAGGCAATTTGTCTTTAAACTTCAATCAGCCATAGTAGCTAAATCCCATTACCAATGGAGGAAAGTTTGATATTGGCCTTGATTCTGGTTCTCGGCTCCGTAACGGCCGTAGCGCCTGGCCGAGGATATTACACCGATGCCGAGTCATATGTTCGGCTCCGCTTCTTTTTACACGACACCGTAAAAGGCGGTAGCCCTAACGCAATCTTCGTAGCACGTCCTGATGTCATTGTTAAATAACAGTTACATTATAATTTTCAGGATAAATTACGTGTTTAGTACCTATACTATCATATTTAGTTCGTTTTAGTTCCTAAACTTTTATTTTTTTCAAAATCATACCTAAAATTTAGTTTTCATTTCATTTTAATACCCCACTTCACTGTTAAAAACTCCAGTTTTTGTTTCATTTTGGTACCCTGTTCGAAATTTAACGCTAAGTTTTGATAAAATTTAAAGTTTAGGTACTAAAATAGACCAAAACTGATAGTTTATGTACTAAACGTATTAAGTTTTTAATGGTGGTGTAATCACCATTTTTCAACATATATCTATATTATTATTAATAATATTATTAATATTATTATTATTATTACAAAAAATAATACCAAACTACCAAACCCAAAATACCCAAAGCCCAAACCCGTACCCAAACAAATTAAAACCTAGCTCAAACAACCTAACCCTAACCCTAATAGTTGATATTTCTTCAGGTGTCGCCGTCGCCATCAGATCTGAGATTCCAACCGCCGATTATGCCTCCCGTCGACTGAAGCGTCGACCATCTTCATTGTGCCACCATCATCATCTCAGCAACATAAGAAAAAGGGGAAATCAATGCCAAAATCAACAAAGCCGAAAAATTCGGGGTATTAAAACCCACACTCACCACGCACAGTGATTCAACAGAAGGACTAAGGTTTTTTAATTCAAAGGCTATGTATATTTTCGGGTATACAACCCGAACTGGTTGTAAAAGGAGACTATTTTTTAGAAAAAAAAATAAAAAACGAAAGGTAAAACCTTTTATTTAGTTCGAATATAAAGTTTTCTTTTCTTCTTTTCTTACAGTTTGAATAAAAAATATAAATGTTTTTATTTGTGAAAAAGGGGAAGATAGATAGTTACCTGAGAGGGTCTCTGCGGTGGTCGGAGCAAAGGAAAGCCGAAACATCGAGTTTTTTTGTACATAGGCGTGGTGTTTGATGATTTTAACCCCAGATCGGGGTCTAGCGGAGTAGATTAGGACGTTTGAGTTATTTTGGATTCGATATAGGAACTCCGACCATCATGTGTGGTGGTCGGAGCGACGAGAGGTAAGGTTGATAGGGTTTTTTGCTCTCGGCCGAGAAAGGAAAGAGGGAAGGTTGAGAGAAAGAGAGTTTTTTTTTTAAAAGGTGGGTTGCAAATGAAAAAAAAAGGGAAAGTGAATTTTATAAGTCCCCATACTTTCACCGCATTTTTACATCTTGGTCCCTGACTTTGTGACTATTTTATTTTAATTTCAAGGCTATTGTCCTCATTGCATGATTTTCTTCTTTTATTTTTGCTGAGATTTACAATGGGTAGAATTACACTTTGATCCCTATAACTCTTCCGTGTTTTTACATGTTAGTCATGTGTAGTGATCTTTTAATTTTTTTAAACTTCGTGGACTGATTTTGTAATTCTACATTTTCTGTGGATATCTTGTTACCTTTTGGGTTATTATCATTTTTAGTCCCCCAAACTTTGCCGTGTTTTTGCATTTTGGTCACTAGACCTTTCGTTTCTAATTTACTGCAAATTTATCATTTTGTTTTGTTTTATTTTAATCTAGTTACTGTTAATTTCTGATTTATCTACTATTACTTCATTTTTTTCACTATTTATTTCTTATTTAACTACTAACTTTTATTTTCTTGCATTTTAATTGCTGTTATTTTATTTTATGCAATCAAGTCCTTATTCTATGTTCATTTTATCTTTATTCTATGTTTTTAATGTTTTTTGTTTTTTATTATTTGTTTTAATTATTTATTTATTTAAATTGTTTAAATAGTTCATTATTTCATAGTTTAAATCTTTAGGCTTAGTTCTTAGATTGGATTAACTTTCGAATCGAATTTAGAAATTAGGACGACACCCTAGTTTAATAAGGGAGCAATTTGAGTCGATTTTCGCATAATATGCCTGATTACTCGAATTGATTGCACGACTTTTAAAATTTATTAATAATTAATATTTTCTAAAAAACTTTAAGTTTAATAGTTTAGAAAAATTAGGTTGTTAAATTAGTTTCTCAACCTTAGAAATTATTAATTTAGGTCCTTAAGCTTTTAAATCATTTAGAACTCGATATTTCAGATCTTTGACATTTAGTCCTTGAATTTCAATTGAACCTTAATATTGACATAATTAAATATGTTATTAATTAAAGCCTCTACTTTTAGTTAGATTTCAAACTAGTATCTTAATTTAGGGAATAATCTGAGTCGACCTTCACGTAAATGCTCGAGAGACCATCTCGATTATTCGATTAGAAAATTTATTAAAATCAAATAGGATTAATATTAGAGCCTACATTTTTAGGTTTGAGTTTCTAGGTTCCTTTAATTTCATAATTTGACACCTTAAGCTAGAAAAAGTCTTTAATTTACCTTAGCTTAATTAGGATTAAATAAAAATTTGTTTGATTGCATTATTTTTTTAAACCTAAGGCAATGTTCACTTATTAGGGAATTAATGATATATCTCCCGCAAGTATGCTCAGGGGGTGATTACTGGTGATTCCCGAAATAGGTTGACATCCTTTTTAAAGATTGCATCATGTTTTCTAAAAACGAGGCAATATTCAGTTATTAGGCACAATAGATGATCTTCCGCATTTACGCTTGGTAGTGAATGCTATCGGTCTTAATAAACAAATACCCTTTTCAAATTTGCATTCGTAATGATTTTCAAATTAAATAAAGATCAAATTCAAAATTTCTGATTTTAAATATAGGGTAATCAACTAGGTATTAATTTTTGGGCGCTTGTGGGGGTGCTAATCCTTTCGCACGCGTAACTGACTCCCGAACCCGATTTTTGGATTTTCACAGACCTTAAAACTTGGTATTTTGATAAAAATAAAATGTTTTATTAAAATCAATTGGTTTTTATGGTGTCTCAATCACACCTTAAATGATTGGTGGCAACTCCTCACATTTCGAAACCTTTTCAAAGAGAAAACCCCGAGTCGGTATCGGTCTTTCCCCGTCCGAGCAAAAAACGGTGTCTACATGTGGAATACTAAAATGAAAAGAAAACTAAACGTTAGGTATGATTTAAAAAAAATGAAAGTTTAGATATTAAAACAGATCAAAACAAATAATTTAAGTACTAAATACATAATTTACCCTAATTATACTTTTTATAGACGACTTTTGAGATCCGCCCCTTCAAATATTCAGAATTCATAAATCATCTAAATAATATTACCTCATTCGACAAAACATATTCACAATACTTCATCTTCGTTACCACCAAGCTTTGAAAAGGATTTAGTGTAGCGTACAGTCTTTATAATCATCGTTAAAAGTAGTCACATCAATAATTATTATGGATGCACGATCGGTTGATTCGGTTAAAATATTTATATCAGTACTATATAAATAAATAAATAAATTTGAGGAAAGTCCACTCTTTCCCTCCAAAACAGTTGACAAATGGAAATCTCAAAAGCTGTCCTTGAAGTTAAACAAATTTTGTTTTCAATATCAATTCACCAACCGATCTTTTCTTTGGGGTAAGGGGAGGTAGGATAGTAGGTTGTCCTCAACATCAGATTGAGAACAGCTTTCGTGGAAGACCTCTAATTATGAATTGCCCACCATAGAACTCGATCTCACGACCACAAAGTTAAGAGCCTTCGCTCTACCAACTGAGCTGGACGGGTAATACATAGTTGACTTCAATCAAAAC